GGAGGAGGGGGAGGAGGAGGGCGAGGGGGAGGGGGATCTCCTTTACATGCTCCACAACAGCTGACCTTTTCGTATCCTGCATCCCATCATGACTTCCACCACGATAGCACCCCGGCAGCTGTATCGTCTGCTCGTCGTCTTCCGTCTTCATCATGAAAGCCTCTCCGTAATACACACTCTCCCCCCTTGCGTCATCCCATCCAATGCGTCATCCCGTCCAATGCGTCATCCTTCATCTCGTACGACACCTTCTGTGTCGTCATGCGCCGCCTTTGCAATTGTATTTTTTAGTTCCTGCGTTTTCTTCCGTTTTCATATAGGTTCTTTAGGGCTTCTTATTTCCAGCTTCCCCGGTCAGCAAGTTTAATACTCCTTTTCAGCAGCATTTGCATGCGTTTTTGTATTTATCGTTCGCTGCTCACAACTCCCCCACCTCTCTGCCTCGCATGTGCCTTTGCCCGCTGCTTCTGCTGCCTGGCCGCCAGGTGAGTCCAAAGGGTGGTTCGAGCTTCTTCGGTATATCGCGTTGGCGTCGGTCGGCTAGCCGGACTAGGATAGTCGGGTCGGTCGGGTCGGTCGCGCGTTTTAGTTTTTGGGGGGTTGGGAGGAGCACTTGCATACCGACAGCCTTTCAGTATCAGCAAATCAGCTATTTCTCCGGCCAGCAACTCTATGCCAGCTTTACGACAGCACTGCTTTACCACTTTTCCGCCGCCTTCACACCTACTTTTCTACACCTACTTCTTTACGGCTTGGCAATACTATTTCTTCTTTTTTAGTTCTGGCGGCGTAGGTAGGTAGTCTTTCCGACATCTTCTTCACTTCGTCATGCCGAGGTCACGCTCTCCAAGGACGCCTTTCGGTCAGTTCTACGTTTGATACTCTCTTGCCCTGGCAGCAGCTTCAATCGTGTGTGGTTCGTCTTTCCCCCCTTCCCCTCCTAAAAGCTATTTAAAAAATAAGTACTTCCGAAAGGGCGTAATACTTATGGTACCAGGCGTATTAAGACCACATTCTCCCCCTTGCCCCCCAGGAGTCCCTGGCAGCGCCCGACGCCGCCTACCTGCCATCCGCCTTTCGGATTGTGGCGGCGCTGGCACACAGCACAATGCTGGCGGAGCGGCTACGGGAGGTACGGCCGGCGGTACGGCTACCAGCGGCGGTGGCGGTGGCGGAGCGGCTAAGGAAGGTGCTGCCGGCGGCGGCGGCAGCAGCACTACAGCCCTGGGCTCCGTGGAAGGTATTGGGCAAGGAACACGACACGGGATGGGGGTTTGGGGCGGGTGGGGCGGGTGGGGGAGAGGCTTCTTCGGGGGATTCAGGGGTTTCGGGCGAGGGGAGTTTCTTTAGAAGGTGTTTTAGCAGGTTTGGGGATGAGGTTGGGGGGAAGAGATGCAGTCTGTGGTGGCCGGCGACGGCACCCAACGGCACAATATCCACATTTGATCCGATTTTTTCCAACCGAATTTCCCTAAACCAACGTTTCCAACCGAATTTTCCTGGTCTGCTTTGTACGGCGCTTCTATGCGTGTGATGAGCACTTGTTGTGGTGATGCACCGCACATGGTGCTTCGCCATGTACTGGCCCCCCCTTTTGGCAGCCCTGGCAGCAGCTTCACTCGTTCGTGGTTCGTCTCCCCCCCCCCCTCCCCCCCCAGGCGGAGGTGGACCTCCTCCGGGTGCCCGACTTGCTGCTGCTGACGGAGCCAGTCACCGTGAGCTGCACCCAGCTAGGTAGCGGCGACGGTGGCGGCGGCCCCGCAGTTCCGCGGGCCTTCCGTGCCGCCGCCATCGCGCCGCCGCTGCGGCGGCCCATGCAGGTGGCGCAGCTCTTCCGCCGTCACGGCCCTGACGGCGAGGTGGTGCCGCCGCCGCCGGAGGCGGCGGCGGCTTCCTCCGCCACCGCCGCTGTCCCTACCTCTGCTAACTGTGTGTTATATTGGTTTGAAGCTGACTGTGGCGCTGGCGGCTGGCTGTCAACGCAGCCCGGCAGCTCATGCACCTACTTCGGGCACTGGGTTCAAAACGTGCACTTCCTTGAGGAGCCGCTGCCGCTGCCCCCTTCGCTGCTGCTGCTTCCGGAAGGCGAGGAGGGGAAACAGGACGAGGAGGATGAGGGGGTGGTTGGTAGTGTGCCGAGTACTGCAGACGTCGGTCGTAGCTGCAATGCGGGGGGAGTCGGGGAAGCCCATGGGGAGGTGGGGGGGGACGAGGGGGAGGTGCCTGTCGAGGGACTGCGTGTGCTGCTGAGTGCCGAGTGTACTTTGGACCGGGTCAAGATGTCGGCAGATTGGGTGCTGGAGCGACAGGGGGAGAGTGAGAGCGGAAGTGAAGAGGAGGAGGAGGAGGAGGAGGAGGAGAAGTGAGATAGGTTTGGAGTGGGCGCTTGGGGAGAACGTGCGGATAACTTTTAATTTTTCGGATGGACGATAAGAGGATTACGTTCCGCCTCCCTCGAGTTTCAGTTCGGTCTTACAAACATTACACTCGCACACAGTCCATACAGACAGATAAACAAACAGGCAAACAATGTTACGCGTCGCCTTTTCCGACCTGATCTGATCTCTTGGCAATTGCACTTGCCTGGGGTTACCTAAAAATCGCGCCTTGTTGCAGCTCTGCTCATCGATCGATACAGTTGGCCGGCCCACACAAACATCATCATCATCATCATCCCATCCACCAAGATATGTATAAAAACGGCCGTGTTCTAACGAGACACGAGAAAACGTCAAACGTTGCCATATATGCTATAGCTCGCAGCAGCAGTAAGGTAACTCATCCACACACACCGACACACCTACGGCTAATGGCCACATTATTTGGGAATATAGGCCATTAGAGGCCAAAACGAAAACGCCCACGTTATTTTATATAAAAATATATCAGATGTAAGTGCGTGTGTCTGTGTGTGTGCGCGAACATAGATATGAATGCGTCCTTGTCAGCTAGGATAAGGCGGCGTAGTATACGGCTTTGTCATCATACGCGTTCGCCCGCCGCCGCTGCCTCCCATACTTCCCAACCATACCGCCGCAGCGAAACCCCTGAACACGCACCACCACCACGCGCATCCTTTCCACTCCCTCTTGCACATATTGCACATACATACATACATACGTACATGCACTCACAACAATTCTGAGTAGTGGTAATAGAGATACAGGCAAATCATGTAGCAGTCCCGGAGCCCTCCTTTCCGTGTTGCCTTGTTGCCACCGAGTTGCGGCGCTATGGAGCAGCACGCAGCCTTCCTAAGTGGCCCTTGGCGGGCTGATATGGGGCTCTCTATGTGAAGTCACACCATCAAGTCAACGAAGAAAACATCATATCATGCCGTATCTTATTATATCATACCATTATCATATCATATCATATCATATCATATCATATCATATCATATCATATCATATCATATCATATCATATCATATCATATCATATCATATCATATCATATCATATCATATCATATCATATCATATCATATCATATCATATCATATCATATCATATCATGTGTGGTCGTGG